AACCAGCGAAAACAACGGTAATTGATTTTTTCTCTTTTATATGGATGCAGCTATGTGAGCGGGGCAGCTAGGAGCAACAATCCTAGAAAAATGTCGAATAAACTGCCAGTGGTTCGTATATCGGTTCCCGTAAGTGTTACTGCAATCTACTCTGGTCGAGTGTATTTATATTGTGTATACAGAAACAAAAGAATCGTTGTGCAGGGTGTTGATATGATTCATGGTTACATCGTTTGAAAGCTATTGAGGTAGAAGAAATTGGCCACGAAGCAAAGATTTATTTCTATAGAAGTTTATAATAAATATTCGATAAAAAATAAAAATTAATATGAATATTACAATTTTATTACATTGTACAGAGATAGATAATTCTCGATAAATTGTTTGTCTAAAAATATCGAAGTGGAAGAGAGATAATAATAAATCACACATGGATATTTTTCTGCTGCTTAATATATTAAGATTGAAATTGTTCAGAATAATTCCAAATTATACGATCAACAGAGAGAGAAAATACAATATATAACAATAAAAAATACGTATATATGTATTTGATTAAATACATTAGAAGTTTTATCGATCGAACATCAATTAAAAAATATAAATGATTCCACCGAAGAAGGAAGAATCGTAGAAGGGAATACGTATGGAAAGTACATATCTGCAAAAATCCCTAGTCTAGTTACAAACTTGATTTAAATTCATCCCTCTAACGCAAACTTCAATTGCTCGTAACTCGACAAGCAACCCTCGACCGACACTTTTTTATCCATTTTCCCCTCCACCATAATCGATCCTCCACCAAAGGGTATTCCACGAATATATCGACACCCTGTATAACGTCCAATGCGAATCGAAAGGAAAAGTACGCGAGCAATGTTTCCATCCTAAGTGTTCAATCGTAGCGTACGTAATCGATTGTACGGTAGCTTTCCTCTATCCTGATCTTTTTTAGAGGCTAGATAGGGTGTAAATAGGAGAGATAGAAACCTGTACCGGTCTTGATTTCATCCCTTACGC